GGAAATAGGTACGGTACCGTAACCTGGTGTGTCATTAGGCCCTTTAGGCCCGTGTCCATTTGCTGCTAGGGCTGAGTTTGTGGCAAGAAGCATCAGGGAGATACGGGAAAGGGTTTGAGAAGGGCTCATAGTAAGCTTCATCTTGGCTCGAGTGGGAGTTTGGTTGGTGGTGGTAAGAACGTCGAAGAGGACGAACAAGTCACCATTTATGCGAATAGGAAGGGGGGGAAGAACCGAGACCGAGATCAACGTGGCAGTAATGCATACGAGGCTCTGGTATTGGTGTCATCGTCATCGTAGGGTGAAGCCATCCGATGTGCTAGCTATACGAACTTGACTAGTCCGATAACGGTGCATTGTTTGTACATGCAGATACGACATGCAGGTACAGCGAGCTTACAATGCGGTGTAGAAATGCAACACAAACGTCGCTATCGGCAGTTTGAACGCCGAGTAGAACAATGTTGTATTTTAGTCTCATAGTAAGGAGAAAGAGCTGCCGCACCCGGCATGATCTGTGCGTTTGTAATCATCTGACATCAACATCGACAACCCGTCTACAAATCAGAACATGGGAGTAAGATTTGTAAACACGTGAGAAAGTACTGCGATCGCGATGCGATGACTGGAAATTCTCTCATAGCCTCCCCACACAACAAGACTCCGAGAATATAGCAGCCAGTAGCAGCAGCAATAATAGCAACATGAAAATAAAAATCTCATACCGCCGCCCTTGGAAAACAGAGTACACTAACATCTCGAGACAATGTGAGATACCTACAGATTTGTTCACGCCTTCGCCTCACTTATATCATGATTATAGACAGCGTATACCTTACACCTACCCTTACACCCATCAACACGACGCCAAAAAATACCCTCAGAACTATAAAGAGGCAAATAAGATCGAAAACCTTAATACAGCTACCTCTTCAGAATTTGTAATCGAGCCAAGGATATATATTATAATCGATGTAATCTATCGTATACGATACCGCCCTAACACAGTCCCTTTAGGGGAAAAGAATAGCATGCATGCTCATTTTGAGATCAGTTAGGGCTGGTTATAGACACAATAGTAGTAACTCCACTCTCTCTACACTTGGCAAAAACACTCAAACTTCTCAAACCGTAGCTAACGCAGCTTATCCTAGAAACCATATCTACCCTTCACAACAAACACTCAATTAACTTAGCACGACTCCGTGACCTATAGAACGAACGCGCATACTACACTAAGCTTCTCGGAAATTCTAAGAAAGCGGTGTTATCTCATGGTGTCGCGCGTTCTACAGTATTGTGCATGTTACCTTGTAGTTGGTGTCACGTTCCACAACACTATCTACAACCGCAGTATTCACCACCATCAACACCCACCACAACGATGTACTTGGAGTAAAACCCTAACTCTAGACAAAACAAACCCCCGGTATCAACCTCCCTAAACTCTCTCACCACAACCACCCACCCACCCGTTACTACTACCCTCATCAAACTCCACCTACCTACCTACCTACCTACCTACCTACCTACCTACCTCCCCCTCCCTCCTATCCTATCAAACCCCGCCACGTACCCTCCCCCCTTCTTGTACGCTAACCCACATCAGCCTTCTTCACATTAGTAAACGTGTAGTATACACCAAGCTTTTCCACGCAGTCCCATCCTTGTCCTATACCTCTCACCCCTGCTATGCTCATATAGACCGCTGCCAGGTTAGCCCCGTTTGCACCGGGTTAGTTTTTGTGACTTGTAACGTTGAGCGAAACGAGCGAGGAGGGGGAAGTTGGCTTGGCTTGGCTTGCTGTGGGGATGGAGGGGGGGTTTATGTGAGACAGAGGGGATGGGGCGAGGAGGTGGGTAGGTATGTAGGTTGGATGTGGGCATAACAAGGCGAGAAGAACCTAGGTAAGCTACGTAAAATGAGGGGAAGACAAATGAAAACGAATTCCCCACCCATGGCTACATCCCGTAATTGTAATCAGAGGCCAAGGGGGGAGGGGGGGAGGGGGGTATAAGAAAGCACGCGCCTCCTCTCCACCTGGTCATGTCATACCAACTAACCCCACCAACGCACTGCACGCATGAACTGCTCATCACACTAAGCAGACACCACAAATAGCAACCATTAACCAAGCAAGCAAACACAAGTAATAGTATACCAATTTTTATTTTTATCTTGGAAATAAACGTCTAAGCGAACGTAAGGTAGGCAAAAGCGCAAACTACGCAAGAAACCAATCTGTGTGTTGTTCTTGTATTGCGTGCTGCGCTGGGTGGGTATCATTCTTGAGAGAGGAATTGAAATTGTAACGACGACGAAAAAAAGCAAAAAAAAGGATTCTATGTAATAATCCGCCCGAACCTAGGCGTGGCGGAGCGGGGCGCTGGGCGTAAACAACGTCTTGATGCAGCCCAGCAGCCCCACCACAGTCTCATCTCGTAAACTAAAAAAAGTCCGAGGACAGATAATGCCAGGTAGGCAAGGAACTAGGTAAAAAAAAAGAAGAAAAAGTTGAATCAGGGAAATAAACGCCTCATTTTAGTGTTCATGCACCATGCTGCATTAGAAATGCGTTCTTGTTCTTCGTTCGTGTTTCCTCCTTTGCTCGTTGCGTGCGTGCATGCGTGGCCATCGTGAAATCTTAACCTACGTGTGCGAAATTCCGCTCCTTGTAAACCATGCTGGCCGTTTTCGTATGGGAAATGCAAGGGAGAAGTGGGTGAAACTAGAGGAAGTTGAAAGTGGGACAGAGAAGGAAGAAGGGAAAGAAAAAGAAAATATGTATGCCGCGCTCGCTGAATCGCTGCAAACCAACATCATCAACAACAACATAAACCCCACAAACAAGCCCGTCTTTTCTCTCTTACCCGAGGCCAACAAGAAAGAAAGCCTCGGGAAACCAAAAAATTACACGTTAGAAGTAAAATTGGGAAAAATAACAACCGGCGAATTATTTCGAATAAATCTTGGGGTTTCTCGAGTCCAGGGTATGGGGTTGCGGAGCCCATAGCTGCAACAGTAGCAGGCTCGGCAGTAGAGAAGGAAGAGTAAAATGAGGGAAAAACGAGGCTAGGTTCCCACTAGCTAAGGCCTAGGCGTGTGTCGCATGTCATGTCATGTCATTGTCAAACCCCCCCAGCTTGCCGATGCCGATAGCGCTTAGTGGCAAACGTTATGTTTGAGTCTGAGTCCGTATACGTGTGTTGTTTGTTTGAGAAGAGAAAGTGAAGTTGAAAAAAAAATTGACCTCAACGACTCTTGAGACTAGCTCGCTTCAGCATGCGAGTGACAAGGTTACCGCGTGGTTTAGGTTTGATATAAAAAGCGCCCTTGGTACCTGTCATGTCGTCTGAAAAGACGAGGTCTTCAAGCGCCAAGGGGTCGTCCTTGGGGGCGGGAATTGCCGCTTTCGTGCTGGAGGATGGAGAGGCTGAATGTGACGAGGAGGATGAGGCTTGCCACCCGTATAATTGATCCTCGTCAGCTCGCAGATCGGGCCGTGTAAGCGTCATCCGGAGCGTCATTTCGCGATTGAGCTGGCCATTGGCCGAAATGGGCGACGGCGCAGGTGATTCGACAGAGTACTTGCGATTTGAGAATTGGCGCGAGTGCAGGCGAAATGATAGGTTGGTGCTGGAGGGTGTGGCGGGCGAGTTGACATCCGCTACTGAGTCGTCGTCTGACTCGAGGCCCTGATTGTCGTTGCTCGTATCTTCAAAGAAGGAGAGGTGGCCATCTCGCAGAAATGTATGCATGTCCCGACTGAACTTCCGGGCATGGCTGACGATATGGGGAAGCTGGTAATGCGGTGTCACGTTGTCGTTTCCTGGTGTCGATGGGAAGCCGAATTCGATGGCTTCGTCAAACTTCTGCGGTGATGCAAGGTACATGCGTAGCTTCTTCCGCGCCTCTGGGTCCTGGTAGTAGGTGGCTTCTGGGTCGAAGACGGGAGTGGGTGTGTGTGACATTCTGCGGGCCGACAGTGAGGACGAATGAGCACGTTGGTGACGTTCAGCGATTGCCGTGGAAGGTGGGGGGATGTCTGCCATGGTGAGGGAAGCAGAAGTCCCGTGACGCAGTGGATTAGTAGTAAGAGACATTGTCCTTCTCACGTCGGTGGGTGCGGTTTCTCTCCGTGTGAAGATAGGAGTGCCCATCATGTCGAGATATAACGAATTACTAGGCCTGTCCTGGTCGTCCGCAGATGGGCCGAATGCGAAGGGAGTACGAGATGGACTGATGGCAGATGAGGCAGATGAGGCAGATGAGCGGCTACGTGAGCGACCGCGCTCTGGAACGTCGATGGCGGCAGTCTCGGAAAAGTCAAAGTGGAAGTCGTCGAAGCGTTGCTGTGCCCACTCAGATTCTTGGTCGGTGGTATGGCGCGAGCGCTGCAGCAGCACCTGCTCTTCCTCGCGAGAAAAGTGCTGTTTGCGGACCTTTTCGGGCAGGGCCAGATAGAAGTCGAGATCGACTTGGAAAGTGTCGTGATGTTGGAGGGCCTTGTCTGGTTTGCGTTTGCGTCGTCCGGTGCCGAGAGACAGCTGTGGGCGGTGGGGTTTGGAGGAGCTGCTGGCCTGGGACGAGCGGCCTGATGTAGGCTCGCCACGCTCTTCAACCGACTGCTGTTGGATCTGCAGACGCTCCAGGGATGAAAAGTACTTTCTCCTGCAACGGCACGGGTCAGCAATGGCATGGCATAAATTGATAATCCTGCCTCATTCTACTGCAAGGTACACGACGTCTTTGGTGGGGTGTTCGGTGTATGCACGCGACCAACGCACCCCTATCACGCGCCCGGACAAATCAGAAGCATGGTCGAGAAACTCACTGGACCGAATAGGGCAGGGCGTCGAATTCGGCCTGCTGGAGAGGCAGAATAGTGCCTCTGGCTTTGCTCTTCATGGTCACCACGGCCGGCTCGGTATTTCCGTATTCGAGGGCACGGAGCTCGTGAGCTCGACAATGAAGGCGGCCAACACGCCGTGGCCAGGGTGTGCGTCGAGCCCGTTGTAGGCGACGGCGACGGTGAATGCGGGCGTTTCTTTTTGATGATCGACCGGAAGGTTATCCGACGTACCAACAGGCAAAGGTCCGAAGAAGCTTGAAGGTTGAAGCGAAGAATGAAGGAAGAAGGAATTATGTACATGGACTACGTACAACCCAACCTGACGACGGATGACAACAAAAAACAGCAGATCGGATAGCTATGACATGAACAACAGAAACGCAGTGCAGTGCTGGCGCCGAGGACCTTACGCAGCACCTGCGGCGGGTGCATATTCGTTCACGGCATGTCACTGCAGCGGCTGCAGCTAAGACGCCGCCAGAGACGCAGGCTGCTCTTGACCTCGCACCTGGGCCTTGGTAGAACCGTGGCTGTTCTACATACGCCGCGGGTGTGTGCAGGCAGAAAGGAAGGACGCAGAGCTGCAGAGTCAGAGTCATGCCTACACCTAGGTAGCTCACGGACGAGGCCATCAGCGGTCCCACAGGCTTACGAACTCCCCGCTTCTCTCCACCTTGCCGTCCGCTGTTTCACGCCCGTGGCCGCCAGGAACAGACCGTCAGCGGCGCCACGACTGCTAGCGTGCGACACACCGTATTGCCACAGCTACCCGGTACATGGATCACGATATCCATTTTTCCATATTTCCAGAACAATTCTTGCGTGATTGCGTTATTGCTCGCCGAGCACTCGGATCCATACGCCGACGTGTCACCATGTCACTATGTACTAAACATCACCCACTTCACTCACCATCAATGACATTCCACTCTGTACCGCACTTGCACTGCCGTCACTTCACGGCCACCACGCACGTGTACCACGTCGCGAGCTGTGGGCTGTGGGCTGTGGGCTGTGGGCTGCAAGCTGCGAGCATGCGCTGTGCAACCACGCCAGAGCTGACCACAAAATGCACGGCACGCCTCAGGGGACCCGCTCACAAGAAAACAAACATTGCTCATTTGGCTATACAATGCTGTCGTGAATTGCACACACGTACAAGCAAGGGTATCTCAAGAGAAGCGCACTGCCGGCCCCCCGTCCCAAACAAACATGTATCTTCTGCCGGCCCCACCAAAAACAACAACCCCTACCACTACCGTATAGTTATGCTGTATGCATATGTATGCAATCTCCCCCAATATATGGGTCAACATCGACATGATTCATCAAAACTCTAACAGCCCATCGCCCTCTACCCCGCCAACGTATGGTTCGCGCGTCAGCCAAGTTTAGCTTCCAAGTTTAGCCTCTCGGAGCCTCTCCTCTTAGCCTACCCAACACAACACACTATACACTTTAGCTTCTGGCCGACCCATTCCAAATTTCCATTGGCTTTGCAGATCGATACTTGTCAACACCCGTTCTTCTGTAATTAAGCATGTCGTGCTTGCTCAAGCTCCGGCAATATCGTCTGCGGGTACAGATGCCATGTCAGTAATAGTCCGTGTGTCCGGCACCGACTGCACTTACAGTAATATTCATCGTCCAGCCCTTCGCGGCTCGGGAGAACCGGCTCTTCCAGTCCGACCTCTTCGTATCGCACATTCAGCAGCCGTATTTTGAGCCCGTAGCCGCCTATAAATGTGATCAACTTGTTGGTGTCGGCCGTAATTGGTTGTTGGTTGAGCAGCATCAGCAGTCCGTCAAGCCACTCGGAAGCTAGGGTATGGCTTTGGGGGTGCAGATGCAGCAAGACAGACTCCTTGCGCCCTGCACCTGAGCCGCTTGACGTCTGTCGTGAATGATTAGACGACGGCAGATAGCCGTGGATGGTAATCTTGGTCGACGTAGACACGCGCTCGTGGCCTGGCAGTGTTCTGAGCGTGGTATCAGACGATGAGGTTGACGGGGCCGACGCCGAGACATTGCTCACAACTGAGGAGACGATGGACAGATCGACTATTAACGTGCGTCAGCCACGGCGGTAACACAGACCTATTGGTCATGGGCAACGCGTCACTTACTCTTCTCTTGCAGTGCGTCTAGCCGCGGCTCCGTCGCCGTCTTGTCGTCAAAGTCAGCATAGTGCAGATACCTCCGGTTGTGTGACAATCGAACAAAACGCCAAGCCGATGGCACAGAGCGATTAAGCGTCTTGCTGGTAACTGGACCCGCACTTGAACCGTAATCCAGGCCCATTGGGAACCAAGCGCCTTGCAGTAGGCATCGTATACGCTGCTCTTTGACAAACTGCAGCGCCTCGTGATTGAGCTCGTCGCGTACTTGGCTGCAGCGGGTTAGTTCAGCATTGCCGAGGAGAAGGAAAGTGCATACCGGAGATGCTGGCCCCACGCATCTTCATACGTCAGTTCCAGAACCTCCATCTGAAGCGCGCGGAGGCGCTTGAGCTCAAACTCTGCTAGCTCCTCCTCAACGTCCTTGACGTCCTTCATGCGCGGGGCCTGGCCCACGACCTGCTCGACCAGAATTCTTATCAGTTCTTCAATCTTTTCAAAGTCGTCCAATTGCGCGCCCGCTGCCTTCCACAGGCGGATAAAGGCATTAAGGCCGCTTGTGTGGAGCCGAGACCAGTGCAGCAAAAGGGGTCTGAAGGCTCGCTCAAAGTTGGCCCGCGTGTCGTTGGCTTGATGAGTTTCCACGTCGTCAATCTTGTCCACCTCAAAGTGCTCGTATAGCGTCTGGGTTACTGAAAGACTTGCCCGAGCAATTGGGCATCGGTTCTCCTGTGATTCTGCCGACTGCTCGAGCAGGAGCTTCTGAAACCCATCTTCGTTCTTGTAGACAAAGTCGGTAATGTCCATGAGGCCTAGGAAGCCAGTCGCACCAAACTCCCAGCCTGGCGACTCGGTCTCAAAGCCTAATCGCCTCCACTTTGTAGGGTCCTGTTTCTTGCTTCCCTGGGGGTCCGCTGCCGCCGCCTTGTCCGGGTTGCTTGCCGTGTGCAGGCCACGGATGGCCCTTCGGTGGTCGGGGTTCTCCAAGTCGACCTTTTCCTCCCTCCACTTTCGCAGCAAGATCTTGGTAAGGGACTGGAATTCCAAGAGAGGGATAGCCAGGTCCTGAACGGCTGAACTCTGCATAAGACCGTATACACTTTTGATGACGCCCAGCTCTTGTAGCTGCTTTATGAACTTGGGCCACTCAAAAGCTGCATCATTGGCAATGGCGTCACGCATAAGGGCGTTGATAAGCTGGAGCGAGTTTGCACATAACGCATGGTCGGCCGATGTGATCTTCTCAACGAGGGCGGGCAGGAATTGCGACTGCAAGTCGACAGCTGGCTTGAGGCGCTGGAAGCCGCATTGGGAGCCGCCAGAGGCCGAGTTGCGCGAGGGGTGACCGACAATGGCTGCGAGGACTGACATGGCGCCCCGATTGACGTTGACTAGGGGCTGCGCGACGACGAGGTCGACAATCTATTACTCACCCGTTAGATGGCGTCGCTCGTATGTCGCAGTCCCTGGCCAACTTACCCTCGCGACAAGGTCGTCAGTGACATGGTCCCATCCCTTGTCCAACTCCAGCAGGCGTGCCAGCGACGTAAGGCAGTAAGCCAGAGTATTTCCCGTGGAATGCAGCGCCAGGAAGCGGAGCTTTGGCAATCCGCCTTCGTATATGAATACGTCGGCGAAAGAGGGGTCGCCAATGGCATTTTGCAGTTTGAAGACGGCCATTTTCCGCACCGACTCCTCCTCCGCCCCGAGGCGGGCGACCAATTCGGAGACATTGACGCTGTCCATTTGATGATTCTAGTTGTACAGCGCGTGACGACGGGCACAAAGTAGGCTGGTGTTGCGGAGAGGGCGGTTACTTGCCAGTAACGTCGACGCAATAGACATGACAAAAACACGAGAGAGTACTTGATAGTATCGGTACATTAATGCGCACCAACAAATGCTGTCGATGCCGCCATGAATCCCCCCTATGCCTGTGCCGGAGTCGCGTTAGTCGGTCGCGAACCCAAGCTTGGCGCACGTGAAGCGTGTTGTGGGGTGTCGCGCGCGCCCTGGTTGGTTGGCGGGAGAACTGTCAGGGCTAGTCAGGTACGCCGAGCGAGGGCAGCTGCACGTCGCCATGTTCAAGGCACCGCCGACAACAAGCCGTCGCCGCCGCCGCCCACACCATCGCACCTTCCCGCGTTTCCGCCGCTCTTGCCATCGCTTTCTAGAGTGCCCTGTCGCGCCTGCCTAAGACCCCGTTTGTTTGTTGTGTCTTGCCTGGTCGTGCCTTCCTTGCCTATCTTCTGCCGACTTCTGCCTCCGCTGCACCTTCCGCCTCGACACCGACAACCGCTCCGCTCCTTCGCTCCACATTCAACCCTCACTTCCACCGCGACTTCACCCTCACGTCGCCAACCCGTCATGGTCTACATTACTTCTGATCTATTCGGTCCCAGCACAACCAATGATTGGCAACACAACACGGCACCCAGCTACTGGCACACCATGGCGCACGAGCAACACACGACGGGTCTGGGCAAGCGAAGAAGACAGGTAACCGACGACGGACAACCAGCGTACGAAAACACCCTATATCCCCCCTTTCAAGGGGAGCCCCCTCGCTAACACTATATCTCCAGAAACATGTCACGCCCGCATCATCGCTCATCGCCAAGTTGCGACGCTACATTCCGCATGCACCATCCCAATACCCCGCCTTTCGACTCCAACAGCTCCCTCTCCTACTCCTCCTTCCCCTCCAAATCCTGCGAATACACGACGGACCGGCGGCCCGTTAAGCAGCTCAAACGCGTCAGCCCAAAAGCTACCGTTGTCAAGTCGACGTCACACTTGATGGATGTTGATGTAGATACATCATCCGCTTCTTCTTCTTCTTCTTCTTCTTGCCAACCCCAATCCTACGCCGTCTCCGACTTAAGATCATGTCATGCCTGCAAAAAGGCACCCATGCGGAAGAAGGACCTGGAAAATTACCTTGATTGCCGACGGTGCGAGGAGCGGACTTGTTATATCTGCGCGCGAAGATGTTTGGGCTGTGAGAAGTCGATATGCAAGAAATGTATAGTTGAAGTGGGAGAAGAAGGGGACGCATGGTGCTTGGACTGTTATGCGTGTAAGATAAATACTTGATTTTGAACGGCGTCTGTCCAGTTTTAGTTTCCTTTTTACAGCGAGCGTGTGTTTTCTTGTTGTTGGTATACTTTTTTTCCATGTCGATTAGCGCAATTTTTATTCTTACTCTATACAACAGATGGACAGTATTGGATATGATAATGTTTCGGGATTCAGCTATATATGATCCCGAGTGAGAAGATATTCATGTCGCTACGACGGTGCATAGACCCTCCACTCCCATCTCAAGTACAAGTATTCGGCCAACTTTGCCTGGGCCGGATGTCAGCGATATGGCACCATGGAAAAGTTTAGTAGACGTACTAGTAGACGTACTAGAAAGAGGCGACGAGGGTTGGTTGTGCGAGACAAATGGGGGTCACATACAGTTTAGTGCTTAAAGAAGTTATAATAATATAATATTCTAACACACCCTCTAACGACTTACGATGCAAGAATTATAAAAGAGCATTTAAGCGTCAAGCATATATCCTAAGTATTCTAGCTAGTATTAATATAAGTAGTATAGATTGCGGTGTAGAAATCTTATTAGTATTAGTGTTCTGTCTTTAATAGGGTTTTATATGTGTGTTATCTTATGTGTATATAGTGATAGGGGTATGGTGTGGGGAAGCGTAAGTAGTGAGGATATGATAGAGAAGGGTAAGCGGAGATGTGGAGGCTTAGGGAGGGGTAGGTAGGTTAAGTTACAAGCGAAAGCTATCTGTCTACTTCTGAGTAGAAACTTTTAAGCTGGCAGAAGCTCATCTTTTGTTGAAACCATCTTTGTAGTACAGAAAACTGGTTCGTAGAAAACCGAAAAACCCGTATGTTTATCCGTTTTAAGGTAAATGATTAAGAGTATTTGTGGAGAGGTGGTGTTTTAGTAGGAGGTAAGAGGGTGTAAGTAGGTGTTGGGCGATGTTTCTCTTCAAGTTTTGGATAAGATAGACGTCGAAGTCTTCATGAAAAGGGATAGATTGGATTGAATATCGACATCACCGAGGCTGTTAAACTAGGATCACGTTGTACGGTTAGAAACTGCGTATATGAACCGTTGCCATCATAAGAGTTTGGAATATGTAGGTAGTATTCAGCAAACTATCTAAACAAGCCCACCCCACATCGTATAACTACCTAACACCACAAGAGACAAATCATCTAGTCCAAGAAACATTCATAACATCATAAACAACCATACCCCTTATCTACAAATACACCCCCCTCACGCCACAACCGTCCCCCCAACATCACACAACCCCACATCAACCCCCCCACCTCAAACCCTCCTTCTCAGCACCCCTCCGCCACCGCTCAGCCGGCTCAGTAACCGGCTCATAATTTGCCGAATAAGCGCCTCGAAAAGTGCCAAAATGCATACCTATACTCTTCCTACTCCGCACATCCCTATGTATCGCCAGCGAATCCTCTGGACTAGAGTGCTGTCCCGAGAGCACGGAACGCGGCTTGAAGCACCCAACAGGCAAGAGAGCGAGATCAAACGGACCGTACAAGTCGCCTATTTGCTTGAACGCTGGACAGGGTGGGTGTGGGGCAGCGTGGTGGGAGAACTGGTCGTCGGAAGTGACGTGGCAGTATCCCGTGTCACCTGCGAAGAAGAGTCTCTTACCACCCGAAGCAGACGACGAGGGCTCCTTGACGATCCAGCTACACCACAGCGTCCCATCAAAGTTCCACGGCGCACGACCAGACCGGTGTTGAGCGGGCGTGCAAATCAATTCCACACCACCTACCCCAGATTTAAACACAGTGATGCCATCCCACCAATCCAGCTCGTCGACTTGGTCGTCATGAATTCCCGCCCCTAGACCCATCATCACGTCCTTGACGCCCAGCCCGCAGAAGAAGCGCAAATCCCCCTTTTGCTTCGCGTTGAGCTTGCGCAGCGTATCCGAGTCGAGGTGGTCGTAGTGGTCGTGGCTTATACATACGGCGTCGATTTCAGGTAACTCGTCAATCGAACATGGCGGCGATGTAAACCGTACTGGACCAACTAACCCATATGGTCCCACGCGCTCACTCCACACAGGATCAAGTAGGATGCGCATTCCGCGTCGACTACCCACTGGAGCAGGTGTTTCTATAAGGAAGCTGGCGTGTCCGATCCATGTTGCTTTCAGCCCCGTTGTCGTCGTGGTGCTGAAGTCGGGTTTGCGTATGTTGACCAGGCCGAGGCGGTCGGCGGGCACAGGCACAAAGTTCTTGGGCGTAGTAAATCGCGTGCGTATCGCAGCTACTATGCCGTCGTTTCTGTACGATGGCCATGGGTTCTTGAAGCTCATTGGTGGGGTGTCGACGTGGTGGTCGGGCGTGTAGCCATTCGGCTGCCGGGGTGGGAGCGATGTCACCGATGTAAGAGGCATTTCTGAAGCGCTGTAGAATCTAAAAAACGGCGCGAGGTCACGACAGGTCGAAGTAGAGCGCGCATGGTTGGCGTTGTTGTGTGTCTAGTGGTGATTTATGTGTGCGTTGTTCGATGCCTGGTGGTTGGTTGGTTGGTGATGGAGGCGGAGATAGCACGGGCGGAGTTGTTGCGCTTCGGAGGTTGAGTTGGCCCGGGAATCGGTGTCGTCGTTGATGACTTCATCGGATTTTGAAGTATTTATTATCTGCTGTAGAGCCTGTTACTTTTCTAATCATACCAGCCCATTCTGCCTATTCTGTGGTTAAAGTGTCATAGTTAAAGTGTCATGAAACGGGACCTCCGTTGCCTATCGAGCAACCCACGTTCCCTCTTCTGTCGGCAACTCCAGCATCACCGCGCGGACTTGCGTAACTTCATTATCCTACTATCCAATAGCAATAACACGTGAGCTCGCATGGCGTATGTGAATGCAGGTACCTAGAGTCCGCCTTTCGCTCATCGCCGGTGCTGGGCCTCCAACCGGGAGTCTGGAATATGCACCTTCTAGAATCGGTAAGGGACGGACAGGGTGTAGGCCGCGGCTCCAAAAAAATCGCGACTACATAGGTTCTCTGGGTTCATATTGTATTCAATTGCAGCGACTGTCTCTCTTCTCGAACCATTCTTTGTGCCTCAAGTTACCAACATGAAGGGAACCATTTCCAAAGTCGGAGCGGCAGCGCTGCTTGCTACTACTAATGCTCAGCTGTACCCCAACCAAAGCCCATTCAGCCACACATGTGAGATCAAAGAGCCTCTTCTATCCTGCCCTTCGCAAGACCCTTCGAAAGTTGATTCCTGCTGCGTTGAGACCTTTGGCGGGCTAGTCCTAAGCACCCAATTCTGGAATACCTACACCGGCCGGGAAGCCCAAGGACAGTTCCAACCAAAATCACATTGGACCTTGCATGGCCTATGGCCAGATTTCTGCAACGGAAGCTACACGCAATACTGCGACTTGACGCGACAATATGACCCCATCCCCTCACCCAACACGACCAACAGCCTGCCCAACGGAACCTTTGTGCCGCCCTACACCGGCCCTCCAATCGACAGCTTCCTCGAACCCTTTGGCCGCTACGACCTCCTCGAGTACATGAACACGTACTGGGTAGCGTGGGAGCAAGACAACGCGGGCTTCCACGGCCACGAGTTCAGCAAGCACGCGACCTGTTTCTCCACCTTCAATATGCCCTGCTATGGACCGGCCTACCGCCAGCACGAGGAAGTCGTCGACTTCTTCGCCACGGCGATAAAGTACTACAGGAAGCTTCCCACATTCGATTGGCTTGCCAACGCAGGCATTGTACCTGATAACTCGACGACATACAGTTATACGGCTATCCGGGATGTGCTGGCTGAGCAGCATGGTGGGATCCCTTTCTTGGGCTGCACTGGACCGCGGTTCAATACTACAGCTGCGGGCAGGAACTCGACGGATCGTGGTTTTACCGTGTTGAATGAGGTGTGGTATTATGACCATGTGAGTTCATATCAGCCCGACTACACCGAATAACAGAATTATGATATAGAAGTGGAGATTACTGATCACTATCGATATAGGTCTACGGTCGTCCCCAAGAAGCCAACACCATCCCCGTTGACGCGTCGGCGAGTTACCTGACGAATTGCGCGACTACCGCTGGTGCCATTTTGTATCCCGAGAGGAGTAATGGGTCGGACAAGGTGCCTACGGTTCCTTTCTAGCCTGTGCATTGTCAGAGTGGATACAGTAGGGAATAGAAACCGAATAGCCAGAAACGAAAATTCACAAAGTAAGCATCAATGCGACGACAGTATGAGTCGGTGTGACAAATAACCTCCCAACCGATCGTACACCAACCTGCACTCTGCATCTCAGTTGGTAAAACACTCATACCTTGGTCAACATGATGACATAGCGATCCCTGAGCCAACACCTTCTTGAAACGTGTGGAAACCAGAATAAGCAGGTAAAGAGAGATGAGTCATCGCCAGATCGCATGCAGTGACCATCTGTTTTTCCAACTGAACCCACGGCCCTGCTTTGTATCTATGTAGCGGTAAGTTGGTGTCATCTCACGTAATCTTCTAGTGTGTTTTTAGGAGCGGTGGTTTTGTGGATACATACACACAAACCTCCCGATGTGGTATACTACAAATTTCTCGGTACGAAGAATCTTTTTTCTTCTAGCGTATGGGGAATGTGCACCGTGATACGAGAGGATTAAGTGGGCGGAATAAGCAGAGCTTGACGCGATGATTCTCAGGCGAGGGTTGGTGTTGGTTTGGCGAAGTGTGGAAGCGTAGGGGCGTATAGACTGCGAACGGTGTGTTGGCCGTGCAGATACATGTTGGTCTGAAAACATATTTTAGGTAACGGAAATTGTGGCGGGTATGAGAAGTAAATCATGTGTGCCACTTGGTGGTGACACGTCGTGTGAACAGACGCTGCTTCTGCTTTCTTAAAAGATGAACAAAAGGGATAGTTTGATAAGTTGTGAGACCCAGCGTAATAGTACAAGATCATTTGGACTTGATACAATCTTCTACACCCCCCTTTCCTACCTGATAACCACGAGCGTTGTGCCCAATCTCGCCGCAACGGCGGCAGTGCCTCTCTCTACGTCGTTGCGAGCAATACATCTCCCTTCGCCTCGTATACAGTAATATAGGTTTTACCTCTTGCACTTGTCGACATAGTTTCCCCATTCACATTTGCAGCTACACCATTATGTTAACATGATTTGATTCGTCGAAAGGGGTAGTTGACCTACGTGCGCCGATTACTGCTTTTAACGCACTCGGGAGCCCATGGACCGACTCCGTTACATTCCGTAGGGCAGCTATTCGGACCATAGGCTGATCCGGGAAGAAGCTACATTGATCAGCGATATTGAGCGATGTAAAGTGATAGGGCCAAACATACACAGCAGTGTCTGCCGTTGCTGTATTTGCATTGGTAAAGTCCTCCTCCATTACAAGCGTAAGCTGATGAAGCTAGGATCAAGAGACTAGCGAGAGAGATCGTGAAGCGGACCACGGTAGAGTATGTAGATTACTTGAAAATTCGGACAGTTGATGCTGAAGTAAGGGGCCGAAATGATTTAACAAAGGTTTCGATTGTAGAGGTAACTGTTCGAATGCTGTGTAGCTAGCACAGTCCGCAACAATCAATTAAGTGGGTCCTAGAAGGTTCAGATTGGATTGATTGATTACCGCTTTAAGCCTAGTAGTTACCTATAGGAGTTTAAGCCCTACCTAGATAGGTAAGTGGGTCTAGGAGAGTGACCGGATTGAATTGATTGTTGCGGAGTCTAGTAGCTAGACAATTTGGTAGAGGAGTAGAGATTATATAGTGGCATAAAGGCCTCTCTATTCGCTTTGGAACTTGACCCGAATATACAACTGCAACAACTGCCGGGTTCATTGTATCACGAACTGATTTCGAAGTGAGCATGTAACCTGACCCAACTACATCCACAATAACTACAGGACTTATACGAACACGAACTGATTTTGAAGTGGGCATATAACCCAACCCGACTATACCGACACAGCTGCAACAACTGCCGGGTTTATTCTGACCCAAACTGATCTCGAAGTGAGCATGTAAGCTGAATTCCAGATTCAGAAGTCAATTGTTGGTAGTCATTTGTTGGTAGTCATAAAAACCCCCGAGAATCAGCAGAAAGATGTGATATAGGCTGACATACCGCTAGCAGCTTACTGCATACGGAGGTGACTTTCAAAAGTTCTTGTTAGCGTATTTGTTAGCGGCCGATAAGTCGGCCCGACTTTCTTGGCACCCATATAGATTTTTTGAAGCTGGAGGTAATAGTGGTGATAGTCTATATACTCAATTTTTTGGTGTTTTCAACTATACTATGGCTCCTAACACTGATCCCTATACCCGTGCGCTTATTGTGACGCTGAAGTCACCTTTTGGTGGCAAATCTACCGCCCAGATCAGCGCTATCACAGGTATTTCACCACGCACTATTGACTTAATTTATGGTAGAGCCTGCCAACGTGGATTTGAGCCTAATTCACCCACTATTAAACTCCTCCCCGAGTACCTCGAAGACGCCCCTCGCGCTGGTCGCCCTCGTAAGCAGGAAGCTATCCACAACGCCACTCTTTCACAAGTATGCCGAGATAGATATAGGAGAGAGAAGAGCTGTGCTGATATAGCTGGTGATCTTAGTGTTTACGGTTACAACATATCATCCACCACAGTGTGGAGAGTCCTAAAAGCAGTTGGTTACAACAAGACGAAGCCTACGAGGAAGCCTGGGTTGACGAAGAAGATGAGACAGGAGAGACTTGAGTGGTGTCTTGCCTATCAAGACTGGACCCTGGAGGACTGGAAGAATGTCATCTAGTCTGATAAGACCTCTGTCGTGCTCAACCACCGCCGTGGTGGCTATCGGGTCTAGAGAAAACCTGATGAGGTCTTCACTAAAACAGTCATTCGCGAGCGGTGGAAAGGCTACTCAGAGTTCATGTTCTAGGGCTGCTTCTCTTATGATCACAAGGGCCTATGCCACGTCTGGTGCCTTGAGACTGCACAGCAGAAGAGAGAGGCAGCTCTTTAAATTAAAGAGATGAACAAGGTCCTTGAGCCTATCATAAGGCAGGAGTGGGATCTTACAACTAGCATGAAGAGGATAGGATTAAGGAATAAGCTAGGCAGGACTCCGCAATGAAGATAGACAAAAGAGACCAGCAAGCTGTCTCGTGATAGTAGAAGAGGCATAGATTGGTGGCGCTACCAGACTCATGTTCTAATCCTAAAGCTTATTCCCTTCGCTAAGGAGTGCCAGAAAGGGAGACCATGTACTGTAGTTCAAGAGGACAAGGCTCCTTCGCATGCCCACTACGCCCAATAACTAGTATACAGTAGGGAGGGAGTAGAGAAGCTTTTATGGTGTGGCAATTCACCTGACCTCAACGCTATTGAAGCAGCCTGGCCATGGCTCAAGCGGAGAACCACTAGGAAAGGCGCTCTACAAAATAGAGCAGATGGCACAAAGGCATGGCTGGAGGCTTAGGATGAGCTACCTCAACACTAAATCCAGGCTTGGATAGAGCGTATACAGTTTCATGTAAAGGAGATTATTAGACTTGAAGGCGGCAGCGAATACAAGGAGGGGCGGCGCGACCGAACAGTCCAAGCTTCGGTGGTACTACGGCAGTAATATAGACCCCCCTGTCAGCAAGAACTTTTGAAAGTCACTTCCGTAGACGCCATTAATTCTGCCGTATCTGCGCGAACTAGATACGCAGCGTAAATCAATACTATAAGTACGAGTCTCACTCGTATACCTGCGCCGCTACACTTGCCTCCGCTTCTATTTCCTTACGCAACGTCTTGTAACACACCAGATACAGTACTTGAAATTATACAAAGGTTCTCAACGGGCTCTTCAAGTACTACCAACACCACTACTACTACCGGTTCTATTCCAGCCCGAGCCGATTTCAAAATAACCATTCAGGGGACTGTATCCATGTTATGATCAACTTTGATCATGCTGGATTTGATGCTAGACTGCCATGTGTTCAATACCGTGTGACCTCTAGACAATCAAGACGCGGAGGCAGATGCGAACACGAATGCATAGTAGTATGCGTTAGTGCTTAGCGTTTAGGAGAAGTATATGTACGATGGCGTGATAGGCCGAAGCCCAATCGGTGAGTTCCTCGATGGGATCTCCGTCACGTGCGCAAGCGCACCGTTGGCGATGCGGATGTCTGAGAGACACTCCGACCAAATCCCCTAAGCTCTAGACTCCGCAACAATCAATTCAATCCGGTCACTCTCCTAGACCCACTTACCTATCTAGGTAGGGCTTAAACTCCTATAGGTAACTACTAGGCTTAAAGCGGTAATCAATCAATCCAATCTGAACCTTCTAGGACCCACTTAATTGATTGTTGCGGACTGTGGGCTATAGGTTCAGGTTTGCAGCGATAGCCATGTCAGAAAAGTGAATACGAAAAGAAAACTACCGGTTTACCACCCCAAATCCAAGCCTTGTCCATCATCTCTCCAATTATCAACACCCGCTTTCTGCTCCTTGCCCGCTCACCACCCACCGTAAATCCGATACGATCACCGTTTCGTATCCGCCGCCCGCCGCCGACCAGCGACCCAGCTCCCGGGCGGGCGGGCGCAAAGAGCACAAACAGAAAAAAAAACCATCAATGTATGGTCGGTAAGTAATGTATAACTATCCAAGGAGCGTGCCGCCGCCGCCACCCAAAAAGTAAGTAACAAATCATCTGTTTTTTGGGGGGATTTTCCGTTAGTTAGCGGGCTGCGGAACATGTAGGTAGGGCTGTAGGGCCGCCGGCGAGAAAAAGGGCCTAGTTTTGATCGCCCACCCCTTCGTATTTATCCTTGTGTTGATGAGCAACGGCACAGGACGTAGATCACGGTGTCAGCGCCGACGACTTACACTGTTTACATAAGCACTACGACCGTTAATGCAGCCGCGCGCCCGTGCTTACATGTGCTTACGCGGGTAAAAGCCGGCAGTGATTAAAGTTTCGGTGCCTTATGAAGTATTGCCTGTGTGTGCGCATCGTGACTGTGTCGGTAGGATTACATGGCAATCTTCTTCTATATAATTTAGAGTTTGAGGGATGGGTAGTTCCGCCGTTGAAACCTCGTGGACCACCGCCGCCACAACCGTGAGAAATGACAATGGATATGGATGGGAATGCTTGCATGGGTAAATGGTGATTTGTTATGTATGTAGAAGAAAGTTCGTATTAGCGCGCAAAAGTAAAATAAGATCTGACGTACTGCTGTTGGAAGGCCTTGTACGATCGTACGGTGAATAACAGTAGCTAAGGTAATCTTGTGTATTGGTATTCTGGTGTATGATGATTCTACGAATGTGGGGGCTACGAAGGTATACATAGCGTTGGGTCCGAGTTGGGCCGAAGTAGGATCGAGGCGGTACATTGGGCCTTATTAGGCGACACACCGTGTGTATGCCGACACTGGCAATCTTTTCTTATTGTAACGACTGATGTAAGGAAAAACGGGTCTTCTAAAAAGGGCACAATGAGAGGGATTCCAAATAGGCATATGTGCCTACTCCGTAGGTCGCTGCACAGATCCCTCTACTCGGATTGACAGCTTGTTGCTTTCGATGAAACGTTCTAACGCGCGATTTGGTGTTGCTTTCGTGAATGCGTCCGCGGGGTTGTCCTCTCCGTTGATCCAGCGGATCTCAGTGATCTCGCGACGCTCGTATGACTGCCGAAGCGCCATGATGTCGATCATCAGTCGCTTCTCAGCAGTTGTTCCGAGTTTGACGAGGCATTCATACAAGGAGTATGAATCCGTACACACAATAAGTGGGATCGGTGGTAGACCTAGGCGTCCTGTAATTATCTTGAGGGTTGTTAGGATAGCGATAGCGATGTCGACACCGCTAACCATGCCGTACGTTTCTGAGGCAAGAACGCTCCGGGTAACGCGTTTGCATTTGGTCGAACTCCAATGGATTACGTTACCACGAATATCAAACGTGCTGTCTTGTCGACTCGACTCATTCGCAAGGATAAGTAGGTACCCTAGCTGTGAGCTAAGGTCTTGGTTGTTCGCGAAGGATCCGTCTGTGAACACTACCAGCTTTGCTGTAGCGAGGTCGAGAGGGACGTATCGCAGGCCTCGTTGTATGCTCTCAGATTGCCACTGCAGCCGGCGGTTAAGCTTCACGTATTCTGTGTCCTTAGGTTGTTGTATTTGCGCAGCCGCGGAAAGATCGAACGATGCTTCAGGTTGGCATATCGACGCAATGTACGCGCCACGCGCGCGCTGCTCCATGTACTTCTGTGCTCGGTTTGCTGCCTTCGGATCAACAGAGATGTCAACAAGCAAGTCAAGCTGGCTTGATTCTTATCGATTGCAGATCACAGACAATATAGAGGCTCGTGCACAGTGGCACGTCCCAGAGAATGGTCTGTGATCTGCAATCGATAAGAATCAAGCCAGCTTGACTTGCTTGTTGACATCTCTGCGGATCAATGATTTCGATCTTGGCACCTTGTCCCTTCTGCGTAAGTAGAATCGTGTCTCCGCGCAACGTTAGAGTACATCCGTTGAACTCGAGTGATACTTCTTTGGACAGTCTCTCCTTGGGCTTAGCTCGAAAATTGGCTTTCTGGAGCGCAGCGTCTTCTGCACCAGAGAATGCAGGCGTCCCAATCGCGAGAGTATCGTCTGTCTGCAGGCCCACTATTCCAAACGCTTCCCGTCTCCCGTTCGTGATCAGGAGGCACGGGTCATACGTTGATGTAGCCATGTCGAGCTCCTTGCAGTGGTGTCCTTGGTACGTAGCAAACCAGTGGACTCCTGCTTCCGCGATTCCATAGAGTGGCTTGATTACGCGAATAATTGTTCCCTTGGGATACTTTGTTATAAGCTCCTTTGGGAGGTGCGCTAAAACCGTGCGGAATAGCTCTGTTTGTGCCTGTGGGTACGCTTGCGTGATATCTCGTAGTTCCACAACCATGCCCTCATCGAGTAATGCAGGCGCTAGGGCTAGAATCAGGCGCTGGCTGGCTCGTTGGATGGTTGGCGACTGCGTCAGGATCTCGTGTTTGCCCTCGTCATTGTAACCTTGAACAACGAGGCGTGATTTCTCGTACGGGACCATGGTCTTGCCTTTGACTTCGCGGACCATGCGCGATTTGAAGATACGATACCCGCCGTGTAGAGTTGGATCAAACAGCTCAAAACTGAATACTCCACGGCCGACGAGGTCGTCGATCTCCTTCTGATCGGATGCTTCGAATGGAGCGCCCGGGACGTTAATCACGCCGTCATTGCGTAGCTTGACGGCCAGGGCGTAATCGTCCTCCTCCTTCTTCGACAGGTACTGCACCTTGGGCTTGTTCTTTGATCCAGGTGGGCGGCCCCGCTTGCGCGGCTGAGCCGCTTGGGTGGCTTCCGCCGGTGGTACCGGTAGTGGCGGTTCATCAGCAATCGCTTCGTCTGTGGTCGGAGATCCACCTGTGCCTTGATCTGCGCCGTCTATCGCTGTAGTCAGATCGCGATAGTACGGTTTTACGACAGTGGATCGGAACGTCGTTGGGCCGTTGATCATGTCTACAGTAACATCGTGGTCCTTCATATCGATGACTCTATACGGCCCTTGCCATCCATTCTTCTCGCGCCATACCATCACCTCACTCTGAAGAGGCAGTGACAGTACCCCGTCTGTAGTAGGCCCATTCCTGGTACCAAGTGCGTTGCTCACCGCATGTTCCGCTGCAGCCTTCCGCAGCGCCCTCATCGCTTTCTGGATTGCCTCCGCGCGATGGGTTATCGAGGGAGATGGTGGTGAATCCATGGATATCCGGGGGTATGCTGGTGTATACTCGCGGAATCGGTCGAAGTTGTTGTAGGTGAGGGGAGGTTGCTGACTTTGGACGCGCTGATAGGCTGGCTGCGGTGCGGATTCAGTTGTCTCTATAGGCTGGCTTCGGATTGGTTGGTTTTGGGCTTTCTCAATCGTTTTTGCCAGCTGGTCCTGAATCTGTTGTTCTTCCTCAACGGTCTCCTGTCGTCCTTGCACACGGGCGTGGGTCTGGTCTTGATCGCGGGTTTGCCGACTGTCTACGTCTCGGCCTCTTGTCCTTACAGGCGTTTGGGTTCGGCTCTGGGCCTGGCTTGATAATCTCCTATCTGTGGACTGTACTGATCCTTCACTGCGTTGTTGCCGTAGTGCCCGCTCTTGCAACATGTGCGCAGCTGATCGTGTGTCAAACACAGCCGACTGGAATACGTCCTGAGGCCATTCTAGGTACTCCTCCATGCGTAATAACCTAGCTAGAGACTCACTAGGTGCCATATTAATACGGCCAGTATACACTCCCTTAAAGCGGAGGATCCGCTTTAGTTCCTTTGTGTATATTGGCTGGGCACGTAGGAACATTGCCTCTGTCCATCCTTCAAAGTCCTGACGGAACTCCCAAAAGAGTTCTTCATCTGCTGTTGGTCGATCTGTATAGTCCGCAATCGCACGCGCAATGTACGTTGTTGCTGTAGTAATCCCTACCTCATCGTCTGGAGCTTCAACGTTGTCCTCCCACATCTCTGGATCGATGTGATGCCATTCTCTTGGTTTTATGTTTGTGGTCCCTAGTAGCGCCTCTAGTGTGGGTACCACTCTTCTACTACTGCTCGCCATTCCTACTGCCGGTGTCCTGGCTACCGGTGCTCTTTCTAATGATGTTCTCTCTCCTGCCATTGTGTTCTTGTTGACGCTTGTTGCGCTAGCTGCGTTCGCTAGAGATGCGTCGGTGGTCGTGGGTTGTACACGGGTCAAATCTCAACCGGTCGGTTGGCGCGTGTATAGACGGCGTCTTGGAACGCTTCTAATACGGCTGTAACGGTCGGTCGCTAGCCACGAACGACGCCTGATATAGCTAACAGTGAGCTTAGCATAGATAACTCCGCCTTGCTGATATAGGCAATCTAGGGAACGCGCGGGGTAAAGAATCTATCTCTTCTTAACCTAACTGTCTGTGACTGCCGTGCAATCACTGATCAGTGTTGGAAGGCCTTGTACGATCGTACGGTGAATAACAGTAGCTAAGGTAATCTTGTGTATTGGTATTCTGGTGTATGATGATTCTACGAATGTGGGGGCTACGAAGGTATACATAGCGTTGGGTCCGAGTTGGGCCGAAGTAGGATCGAGGCGGTACATTGGGCCTTATTAGGCGACACACCGTGTGTATGCCGACAACTGCAATATTATACGTGTGTAAATACTACCGAATATCCTCACCCGCCACTCCCACTTCCTCCCTACCTAGTCCGAAATCTCTATTGGGGTGGGATCCCCCGCTTCGGCTGCAGTCGAGGCCGAAGCCGGTCTATCAGGTACCTGCTTCTCCGCGACAGTCTCCGAAACAGCCTCTGTATGGCTCTCATCCCGTTCCTCTTCGGCCTCGGCCTGTAACTGTTCTGCCGAATCATCATCTGGGCCCTCTTCAGCAACTTCTTCACCGCCGCACTGGCTGCTTCGTCGTTCGCTGGTGTCGTCATGCTCAATCTCCGTCTGTTCCTCCGCGCCTGACATGTCCGCATCTTGCATCGGAGGGCTTTCCACTTGTTCAGTCTTGATCTGCGAAGCTGATGACCGCGTGGTAACGCCGCGGCTCTGTCTCCGCACGTGGATTGTGTGGTTGCCGTCGTCGTCGAATGCCTGTCGTGTGTAGTCATGTTGTTTTCGCGATGCATCCAAGCCGGCGGGAAACATCTTGCCCATGATAGCATTGTGCTTATCACTGGCTGCTAGGTCGACAGAATACCCGGATGGACTTGGTGAATCGGGCGTGTCAACTGATCGGGCGTTCGTAGGGGTGAAGCTTGTTGGCGAGTGGCTAGCATCCCCCTCCTTTCTCTGGTGCACTTTGCGGAGATTGGCGGCTGAGGATTGCGAGCGCATGTCTGGCCGACCGTCTTTGCGGATGAGAACACCGTCTGCGTTGCGAATGGGCTTTGTGCGAGTCTTCTTCCCAGATCCATACAGCGAGTCTTGTGACAACCCGAAGCCAAAGTGCATGCCGGTTGACACACCTTGAAGACCTAGACTTGTTGCACGTTCGCTGCCGGCGTAGCCACCACGAGCACCCCCGCCCCCGCTGCCACGGCGCGCGATGCCTCCACGCCCGCCACGTGAGACGCTGTCATGGAAGTTGTCTGGGCTGGTCTGCGAGTCGGCGTGCCAGTCGTCTTTGTCCCATTCTGGCGTGTCATGCAGATGGCCTGGCATGCTCCTCCTCACTCTACCACCGCGACTGCCCGGCCCTCCACCACGTCTGCTGCCGCGAGGCCGATGTTCAATCATATGCTGTGACTCCGGCTGCCAGCTCTGGTCTGAAGGCATATCCTGTGTAGCACATGGAGCATAGATGGACTGCTGCGTTTGCGACGCAAGAGTCGGTTCCGGAGAGTCCGTCTGAGTTTGTGTTGTGGGTGTAGGTGCCTGCGTTGTGGTGCTGTCCAGTTTTTGTCTCTTGGGGGAACTTGGTATGTTTATAGTTGCTTCACGCGGACTCTCGACACCATTTTGGTAGGGTCGCTTGGTCCCGGCATTGACAGCTTCCCAACTGGTAGTCGGAGTAGGTGGTGGTGCTGTGACCGCGACGCTAGCTGCTGCGGGCACCGAGGAAGGAACCGGAAAAGAGGGTCGGCGGTGCTGAACCTCTGTTGTTGGTTGCAAGGCTTTTTCACTGTGAGGCGCTGCTGGAGGAGCGCGATGTGGCGGAGCTGCCATATGGGGTAGTTGGAGCGGCTGTGATACCGGTGCTTTGATCGCATGGTAGGGCTGTAGAGGTGGCCGTGAAGCTGCATGGGCAGCGGCCTGTTCTAGGCGATGTATCTTGCCCTTCATAATCTCAATGTGGACTTTGAGATGGTCCATGTCGCTCGTCTTGTGCGATAGTTCGGCAATCTGCTTTGCCATGACTTCAATCGCTCCTTCTTGTCCACGAAACGATCGGTCGAGCGTAGTCCCCGCACGTGACTGCTTGTCCACTCGTATGGCCTGCAACTCATGCCTGATAGCCTCCATGGTATGGCGCATACCCTGCACGTCATGGTGGAGCCTTTGCTGTGACTCCTCCAATCTTTGGATATCGGCATTTTGCCGGAACAACTGAGTTTGGAACTCTTGACGAAGCGTTGCTTCTAGCTGCTGGGTGAACTCTTCGCCGCGCCTTATGTCTCGGGTATGAGCTGACAAGGCACCACTGTTCTGGGAGATCTGCGTTTGCAGACGCTCAATGGCCTCAATGCCAATCTCACGAGGTGAGCGAGGATACGTATATCCGTTTGTATGGGATGTCTTCCGAGGAGATTGAACTTGAACTGCGCCTGATGGAGGGTTGGTGGCAGACTCTCGAGAGGATTCCCGGTTGGAGATACGATCCCCATTGACAGAGTCTCCCGCAGCAGACGGAGGGGATACTGGGTTGTTTGTCGTCTTCTGGATCATGGTCTGCACTGGACTTGGTATTGGAGAGTGCATTGACAGTGGGGGTGCTGCCACCAAGTGTCGACTGACATCGAGCTGGTGCAATGCCTGTGGTCGATGGTGGTGAGGCTGTCCACGTAGTCCGTGGGGGTATCCAACACGTTGTGAGAATGATGGTGGGCGTGAGTCGACTTCCATGGCTTCGGTTGACGACGCTTTTGGTGTTGATGTGGACGAGGAAGGACTGGGGGTGTCCTCAATCGCGAGTAATTCGGGTGCAGCGTCTTCACGAGGTTCTACCACAATGTATTGATCCGTTCCAGCTCTTGCGCATCGCAGTTCAATGCGACTCAGCTTGAAGAAATCTCGGCCACTAAGACAGATGCAAAGTTAGCCTAATGATGCTAGCGTAAGACTATACGTGGCGAATATCGCACGATCGATGCTGAGCAAGGTCGAACTGTACAAAATACCCATCAAGTTTGAAGGAGCACCAAGACTTACCGGAAGTTACCCTTTACTGCAGGCGCAGTGACAACGGTAAAGCCCAGCGGAATGTTGTTGCAGCTGGGATGAGGACACACCAAAGGTTGAATGGTACTGGCGTAGGGTCAGTCAAATGATAGTGGCGCAGAAGAAACAATGATTATGCGAAGCGGAAACGCAAAGCGCAGGCAGGCGGGTTTAATAGGTGACATTGTATAGAGTGGACAATCAGTACAGACTAGCGCGCATGCGCTTAGGACAAAAACTTAAAATATCAGGTAATCGATTTGCGACAAGGATGAGGGCATGTGAGATGTGGGGGAAGAAGTTTATCCTGGGCCGAAAAAGAAGACAGTGCGACGGTGTAAATTGAAAGCGCAATGATAGCGAAGATCGAGCTTACCATCCTTCTAGATCTGTACCCTTGGACGCTGCTTTCTGCTTGCCTGTACTTTTCAAGGATATGCTGTAAGAGCCGAGAAGTGCCGGGACGTAGTAGCTCCCGGTGATCCTGTGCCAGGAGTTGTAAAAGTCTCCGACGATGTTATCGCACGTCTTACAGAAGCCTCTGGTCGAATGGCTTATGGGTGATGCAGGGCGAAAAGAGGCTTCTTCGGCACTTCCCATAGCAGCCATCGCTTGCTGCATCTCAGCCATGACCGTATTGTCACGGATGAGGTCGACCTTGCCGGAAACGGGATGCTGACGTTGGTGTGTACTCATGGCGGTATGTGTGTCACTAATACGAGGTCGTCTCGCGCCGACCATGGGTTTTGTCTTTGCAATGGGGCCTAGAGAGAGCCCATAAAGACGGACCGAAGAAAATAGATCGACTGCGACGTATGTACCTACCGCAACACAGACAGTCGACCAAACCTAGACTTGGTAGCAGGGGTGTGTGTACGATGACGAATCGATTAGTGATTGCCAAAGGTGGGCAATTGCTGACTGCGGATATGGATTAGTGGATGCGACTCGCACCAGGGTCCCTGTTCAGGCAATGGGTGAGATTGCAAACGAAGCAGACGGGAAGAAAGTTGAGCTTGGACAGAGAGGTGAGAGAGCGTGCCGGCGATGGGCATTGCTTGCCCGTGTCAGCAAAATTGATCGAAATGCAAGAGAGAGGAGAGAAGGAAAAGGCTAAGTGAAGTAATTAGCAGACGCTTGAAAAGTCGTTCCATGATTAGCGATGCAGGAGCCCTAGTGGGGCGTAGCGCTACTGCTAACTAAGTATTTAGATGGCTCTATTACGAAAAAGCCGTCTCGTGTCGCAAGCGCGCTGCGCTAGCTGTTCCATATCGCCCAATACCCGCCGACTCCTCCGCCTGCCCTCCTGAGCTTCCTATGTTTGCGACGTCTTGTAGATCAATCAATGTGGCACTTTTGGCAGGCGTCAGACCCCATGTGACAGCATTGCGATGCTTGGCCTCCTCCATCGCTGTGTTTCGCATTGGGGCCGGTACTCGTAAGCGGCGGTTAGTGATGCTCATTACTATTATATTGTGACTATTACCACGCCCAATCTCGACCGCGTCATGGGCCAATAACCATAGCTGCCAGTCATAGCACTTACTGTATACTAATATACGCTATAGCCCCAAATTTAAACTTTGTCAGCTATATCAGAGCTGCTGTAAATATGTAGGCTGACATGTGTCCATGACCGGCTAGCGCGCCTGCATTGAAAACCTCACTGCTACAGCACAAGGGACGAGACAATCACGACGATAAACATGTACTTGGCTTATTCTCAAGGACCATTGTACACGGCTTGCACTTTCGGGTTTTGCATTTCTTTTCCGAAGCGCGGCGGCCTAAAGCCTTGCGCTAATTTAAATCTAAGCAAGGGGGATATAGACAGGGATCCTGATTGGCGACCACGCAATAGATACGCCGACTGTGCCATAATGCCACAGTTATTGAATAATCTTTCTACGGACGTCCGCATGATGAAGTGGGTGCATTGTACAATGCAGGGCATTTGGCCTCCGATCCTGTGTCTTCTGTTCAAGTCCGTCCGGCGCTGACCAAACGCCACAGTTCGGCGCTGCGAGTGCCGTATAACCACGCGATATGCACTTGAACACCATGTACGACGATACGCTGGGTCGTGCGTGACACGACCGAACGCCAATACCCGTACTTCACTTGACGACAATGAAGCCAACGCCGTTACGAGCCTGCTGACAAGCCTTTGAGAGGGCTTGCACTTCTGTATCCGTCCACTTCACACTGAGACTGTCCCAGTTCTTCGTAGCGTACTCGCGCCGGTACTGCTGTTGCATGGCCTGTAGGCGTCGAATCTCTCTCGGATCGCCTGTCCCACTGTACACAATAAAGGCCGTGCAGCGTGGCAAAGAGTCGTAAATCTGAAGGATGCGTTCAACCGTCTTGGATACGGCGTCGCCGAGCTCAGCACCTTGAACGTTGGTTTCTGCATCTTCGCCATTGTTGGAGAGACCCAGTCGTTGCAATGCTTCTTGTCGGATGAGCTCAACGTCGGCTGTCTTTGCATCGTCCCACCAGCCTCTTGCAATCTCCAACTCACGCAGGCGTCCCCAGACAAAATCGATCTTGTCAGTAGTCCCGTCCTTACCTTCAGCTTGTTGTTTCATGGTACGATCAATAGCCTCGACTACCTCCGCATCGGTCTTGCAACCTATCGAGACCTTGGCTTGACCACCGTGACCTCTGTTGGGATCGCCCCAGTCGATGACGGCTCCGGCACGGTGCGAGTTGTTTGACTTTGGCCGCGTTGACCGATCTAATCTCTTGAAGATGGATTCTGCGTTGGTGTCGCCGGAGCCCCACCGCGGTCCCTTTTCGCATTTCTGCTTGACGAGATCAAGGCATGTTCGCGCGTCTTCGACACTGTCATGACCTGCGGAGCCCTTCTGTACTTCACGCTTGAGGTACTTTTGTGCGAGCCACTTCAAAGACTGCTTGTACGGCGGCCCGCGGGGGTGCGGATAGAGAATACCAGTATCAATGAGGAACGGGTGCGTTAGTTTGAGTGCATTCAGGTCCGAGTTTAGCGAATGTCCTACAAGGATTGTGCGTGGTGTGATGAGTTCCAATAGCTCCTTTTGTATGTCCGCCAGAGTGGTCGTGACATGCTGGAGCATGGCGGCTGTGATACCAGACCACTGGGTTAGGTAGTCCTTGATGGTGACATCAGGCTTGACTAGCTTATCGAGAGCTACGCTGCCGTCCCAGTTCAATAGACTGATGCGCGTAAGGACCAGCTGGTCGTCCTCGGCCTTGCACATCTCACAGTCGACGGAGATGATGTGTCTCCCGGCCGTTATACTGCCTTGCTCAATGTCGCTTTCGGGCACCTGTCCGTCCTGGAGACTGGTGACGTTGGTATCTACCCAACCGTCATCGGCGGTTTGGTTGGCTAGCTTCCTCCGCTCAAAGTTGGCCTCCTTGGACTCTGGTGTCGTGAACATTGCTGGATGCAGCACGTATTCATTCTCTTGCTGTTCCATGAGAGTGGCAATGTACTCAGTGATGCGCGTGCGCTTGTTCTCCCACTGCCTGGAGTTTTGCGGCATGGGCCCCTTGTGGCCATTCTTTTTCATCTGCTTCTCTTCCTGGGTTTTTGGGATTTGCGAGGTTAGCATGGTATGAATGGGTGAGTGGACCCTCATGTACTGGTTATTGCGATGCTCTCCTATAGCCTTGATGGGCCACACATGGTCAAACACGTCAGAGAGGGGCTTTAGCGACGGCGGCAGTTTCTCTGGTTTGAGACTGACTGGGTAGAAGTCATCAGAAGATATGCGCAGTTGCTTGAGCTTTATAACCTTTGAGGCCGAGGAAGCAGAGTCAGCCTGTTCTTCAGTGGCCTCGCCCTCAGTCGGGGTTTCAGCCTGTGATATAGTGTCTAGAGCAATTTCCCCATTGAACATGCCCATGTCCAAGCCTGGAACCATGAGCATGACAACCTGCTGGATATTTGTACGACTGCGCACAGCGACCCATTGCGGAGCATTGCCATCTGCAAGCAAGTAAAGCACCAAGGATTGTAAGTCTGTGATTTTCACGTGCGAGTTCAAGCGGGCATGATGCGAGTGCTCAATGGCCGGATAGCTCCTCTGCAGTTTGCGCTCCTTCCGGCGCTCCAGCCTTGTCATGTTCTCACTGCTTGGCTCCGAGCCAGGCCTGTGTGTGCCGAATGGATTGCTCCCCACATGTGCATCCTTGGCCGCAAACGGATTTTCCAGTGTAGTTTTCTCGTCGGCCTGAGGCACTCGCTCCTTCCCATCACCACTTTCGTCTGTGTGGTTGACGGGACCAGTACTGTGAACGGGCGAGAGTGATGCAGAAGTTGCGCGTCCATTGTCGCGGCCGTGGGGGCTGCGTTCCTTGCGCCTTCTCTTTGATCCGCCGACTACTGTCCAGCCTTGGTCGTCGTTGCCGTCGCTATCGTCGTTTCCGGTTTTGTGTGCTGCCGTGGTCGTCGCTGCACTGTCTGGGACGTCTTCGTCGCGCATGTGCGCCAGAGTCGCGCCCAATCCAACATCGACAGGAGGCTGCTCGTCGTCGCGGCCGCGGCCACGCTTTCGTTTCGCCATGTTGAAGCTTGGGCGTTTGGCGCAAAAGCATTCACTGAAAAGGCTGTCGTGGATTGCCGTGGTTGAGCTTCGACAAAATGTTCGGCTTCTGAGCGCACCGACGTCGCGCTAGTAAGTTAAGGTGGGTCGCGGGTCGCGCAGAAGGCTTACCTTCGTCATGCCTCACCCACACAACAACCCACCCTCGCCCCCAAACATCATGCGCAACATCAGCACACATGATATGATAACGGCCGACAACGGGGAATTATGCTATTTTTGCATGTACATGATGATGCAGCCTCAACTCGAACCGCTGCAGTACTTTGATCACGTGCACGCGCCATTAGACTGATGCTCCAGCAAATCATCACAGCCACATACGAACGAATTTGTACTTTTTCACCTGGAATCATGCACATGCACGTCGACGAAAGAGGGTTGGGCGAAACCTTCGATTTCAAACTTGTGACCAAGATAACATCCTTGAACACTCTTGTCATATGTTCAGGCGACAGGGTCGTCGTTATCGTCTTTATCTAGAGTATCCTCCTTTGGAATCATCCAACTATGATAGCACGTCTACTCCTAGGAGCAGTTTGCGTAAGGAATACCGTCTGGCCTAGTACCCGTGAATCGATCGCATCTGTTTGCACCTTTTTTGCAGGGGAACGACTATAGGGTTAAAATAGGTTAGATTTAGGTTTGCGATAGATAATAGGGTAGGGGGCACACACAGAGTTGCAAGGCTGGCAAGACGCTTCGTTTTTGGTATACCGGCTGCCTGTTTTTGTCCAACTACAGCACTGACCGAACTCATATGCCCATCCATCGCATCTCTGCATAAGTAGCAAATTAATACTAATTTTTCAAGAAGGTAAAGGCAAACAGGAAAAACAGAATGTAACACATACGTCGAAAGCGAGAGCACCTAGGCTTAGGCTAAGTAGTATGACGACCGTTTGTAGGTTAACCATCATGTATTAAAGATGCAAGTTAAAGGATAAGCGATGTATGTTGTTTGAGTTTGGTACTAAGGAACAGGGAGTGTCACGGTTTGGGGTCTCTCCTGCAGTCGCAACTCACATTTGTAATGGAACGATGCCTATTTGGGACTAGCACGGTTGACGTCACCCATCTACATAAACTTTCCATAGCTTGTACAATACAACCTCAGTTCAATCCTTCAATTCTCCGCACATGCGCACTGTTCACTCCACCGCAACAGGGAGTGAATAGATTTCTCACTACGGGATACACAGTATTATACTGTCTAGTCGGTCTTATAAGGCAGGAAGCTACCGGCGTTAAATTTTGCCTACTTACCATGTCACGTACAGCCAACATGTCATCCCTCCACTTAAATCTAGAGGGCTATATAGAGTGCATTGCCAAGAACACCTTAGTGTCCCCGACCGAAATTAATTCCCGCAACGAGAGTGTATTGGGTATAGTGTATGTAACGGTTTGGGACTTGTCAAGACCGACTTGGGTGAGAGTTGGGTACGGCTATCGCTACCACACTTTCTCATCACACACACCTATATAGCTGCAGTTCCTCCATAGCTACACAATGCAACGCAGTCCTCCTCCTCTCCTCACACCGCTACAGTGTAAGTTCAGAGTCTCTACTCAAAAACCATTCTATCCTACGTACAAACCATGCTATCCGACTCGTACTATGCTTGAACTGACGTTCGTACTTTCGTAAAGCCTGACTATATGGAAACAACTAGCAGGACAACCGGATTACATGTACGATGTGGCGCATGCTGACAAGGTCCAGAGTCCGCAACAATCAATCCGGATTGTGAGATTGATCTTGTGAGATTGTCAGATTGAAGCTATAATCAAATCAAGAAGCTAGTCTTTAGATTGGTAGCTCAATCAATCAATCCGTGACATCTAGATTACCAGATTGATGAGATTGTGCCGCTGCTGTAGGGGTGGAGGGTGAAGGATAGATAAAGGATGGAGTTTCTCGTGATAGCGCGTCGTGACGCGTCGTGGCGCGTCCTACTAAGTCGTATTACCTAGCGGAGCTCCCCTCACCCCTCTATCCTCCGCCTATATCGTTCGTTTTTAACAACGCGTTACAATGCCTCCCCAATCTCAAAAGAAGCGTAGCGGCGCACCTACAGTTGCTGCTAAAGCTGCTAAACGACTGCGCCTATCGCAGCGATCGCTGTCGCCCCGAGAAGCCCTAGCTAGCCAGGCCACTGAGTCGCCGTCTGAGCCAGCGTGGGAAACGCAATTTTTGGAGTCGCAACCTAAAGCTGAGATCGCCGCGCCCACTGAGGGCAGCCACGCTGGCACTGGATTAATAGCAGACGACGCTGGCGCAGGCCGGTCGACGTGGGAGACTGACGGGGCTGATCACTTTGATAGGATTAATTGGGAGCGGCTGAAGCAATACATGAAGCCAGTTAAGGCGCCAACAGGTAAGAAGAGTTAGATATATCAGCATGGCTATCGCGTTGTTAAGCGGAGTAACCTAAAAAGCGTGTGGTTTGTATGTAGATACTGCCATTCTCACAAGGTCTTTGGTGGTGGCCTATACGATATAACGAGAGCGACGTCTGCAGCAGCAACTCACCTCCGGAAGGCTGCACGAGGCTATGGCCTGTCTAACGATCTCGACGCAAAAAGCAGCATCGCGTACGGGCAAGGTCAGCTATCGCTGCAGCAGGCGATCGACGGCGGCGTTGAACTATCCTAAGAAGCAGCCAACGTATTTGGCTACTTTAACGTACAACAGTTTCGACTCGCCTTTATTCTCTAGCTTGTCGACAACAATATGCTAATGGAAATAATCGCCCGGCAATCGACGCGCGACATGATCAAGTTCGCCAACCCAGAGGCAGAAAGCGCGTTGTGGCGAAGCCCTCGCAGTGTCGCAACGTACGCGATAAGGCTGTTCAAGTTGCTAAAGCCGCAGATAGTCTTAGCCCTATCTGCAGCTATAAGCAAAATACACATAAGCTTTGACGGCTGGACAACTAAGGGCGGGAAGCGCGGCTTCTTTAGGATCGTTGCCCATTTTGCTACAGCAGCTAGTGCCGTACACGACTTGCCTATTAGCCTCCCGCAGCTCGCTGGCGCGCACACAGGCAAGATAAAAATACAATTCTGCGCAACCTAGCTAACTTCTATAGGCGAGGCTATTGCTGCTGTTGTTATCCAGACGCTGAGAGAGTTTGGCATTACACCTAATCAATTAGGCTACTTTGTCCTCGACAACGCGTCAAATAATGACACCGCAATTGCAGCAATTGCGCGCGATTACGGCGGCTTTGATTCTATACACCATCGTCTCCGCTGCAGCCCTCATACGATCAATCTTATTGGGCAAGCTCTGCTTTTCGGCGACGACAAGGACTCGTACAACAACGTTGCAGAGCAGCTTAGAACAGAGGAGCTGTACATGCGCGAGTGGCGCCGACATGGGCAATTAGGCACGCTAATTGCAGTTATCAACTTCATCAGGACGCCGCAGCAGCATGAGCTTTTCCAGGCTTGCCAGTGCGACGCCAACAAAGCGCTGCCGGCCGATGATCAGATCCCACTCCTTACACCCGTACGCCCGGTCGTCACCCGCTGGAACTCGTATCACGCCGCTATTAAGCGCGCTACAAAGCTCCACGGCGCCTTTAATCGATATATGGAGCACCACATTAAAAGTGTCGCTTTTAACGAAAAGCGCAGCGGTAGCGCCTGCAAGGATGTGCCGGCTTGGATGAGGCAAGGCGGGCTCGCTGCCAACGACTGGGCAACAATTACAGAGTACCAGAACTGCCTTAAGCCGCTTAAGATAGCAACGAAGAGGCTAGAGGGTCGCGGTAAGGTTGGCAGTTTTGGCGCAATCTACGAAGTGCTGCCAGTCTTCGAGTATATACTGCGTAACCTCGAAGAGCTTGCGCAGCCATGGATTGACGTTAACTTCAACGCGCATAACGAGGCGCCAGAAGGTATATTTTGCAGCTACTTACAGGTTTTCCTCGCTAACGATTGCGTCTATAGATCACCTTCATATTAACCTCCGCGCTGCCTGGAACAAGGCTGACGCTTACTACAATAAGCTCGACGACTCCCCAGTCTATTACGCTGCTACGTGCCTCCACCCTCTCTACAAATACTACTGTGAAAACAGTTGGAGCGAGAAGCTAGAGTGGATCGAGGCCGCTAATAAGGGCTTCCAGCGGCTTTAGAAAAGCTATAAAAAGCTGCCAACGCCAGTGGCTATTCCAGCGGCTCGAGCCGCCCGAACAAGCGATATAGACGAGGTAATCGGGGCCTATACACAGCGTAATCACACAGCAGCAGCCCCGCAAGGCGATGAGTATGACCGCTGGCTTAATCAAGAGCCGCCATGGCGTAGCCTTGACGACGGTAACGTTATCCAGTACTGGATTGCGATGCGCTCAAAATACCCCTGTTTAAGCCAGTTTGCAATCGATATACTGACTATCCCAGCCTCAAGCTGTGAGTGCGAGCGGCTCTTTAGTGAGCTCGGTGATCTACTCGAGCCAAAACGACGCGCGATCGGCAGTGAGTTGCTTGCGGCTCTACAGCTTATACGGGCATAGACTCGGGCTGGCTACACTACCATAAAAACAATTGAAACGCACAGCGGCGACGGTGATAGTAGCGGCAGTAGTAGCGAGAGCTTTACAGACGACTCACTAGCGCGAGAGTACGATATATACAACTAGACAGACTCGTTAGATATCGTAACTCTAGGGGAGTAGCTACACTACCAAAATCTAAAATTTCTGACAATCAAGTCAAGTCAAGACAATCTCAACTGCCTCACGACACCTCAATCTGCAATCAAAACAATCCGTAGGGCTGCTCTCGCCTAATCAAGTCAAGAAATCGGTCTCAGATTGTCTTGACTTGATTGTTGCGGAGTCTGACAAGGTCACATGATACGATTGGAAATTTTAGTACAGGAGCTATGTTCATCACGGGGTACGGACGTCAGTGACCGTGCCAGTTCGAATACGAAAGGGACATGTATG